GACCGCCGTAGATCACGCCGCATACGAGGAGCCCGTTGTCCGCGTCAAGGATCTCAAGGATCTTGTACTACCATCCCCTCCGGAGAACGCTGGTCAGGCTAGAGGTTTCGTCAATCAAGTTTTGATGGCCATCGGTCCGACTCAGAAGACCCCCGGAGATGAAGTTTACCAGTGGGCCCACGCATGCATGTCCTCCACCGAGCAAGAACTCATCGCGGACAAGCGTTTCCCACGGTTAGATCGTGAAATAGCCGCAAAGCTCCTTAAGACCTGCCGCAAAGGTAAGTTCGGGCTCTTGTTTCAAAACATGATTGAACAAGAGAGAATCTCGTCAGGCGGGATGCCCGTAGGGAGAATTATGTTGCGTGCCATCTTCAAGCACTTCCAGTTGGAACGAGGTAGGATCGGAATTTTAGGAGGTCGTAACTTGTTAAAGTTGTCTCTTGCAGGTCCGTCCCTTGCTGACTTGGATGCCTTTCGGGAGAAGTACGTTTACGTGCTGACCGCAATCCCCGTGGCAGAACAACCCAGGGAAACAACCTTGTTTGATCACCTGTTGGATGAGCTGGAAAAGTGCACCGCGCTGAAGCCTAAGGTAGAAAAGGCACGGGAAGCCCCTATCGGCAGCCACCGTAGGAAGCCGGAATGGTTGTGGTCCAAGGTTGATCTAGCTTTGGAGCTCCATCAGGACAAGCGGAACAGGGATGAGTTTGACAAAAGTCTTCAAATCAAGCCAGCCGTCATGTCCCAGGGGAATAATTCCCTGCAGCAAGCAGCGAAGACAAGCCCAAGAAGAATAAGAAGAGCAAGAAGGATAAATCTGCTGACCAGCAGACTCGGCAGCCCCTGCCGCCGAAGGTTAAAGCTCTAAAGCCGCCTCCTCCTAATGATGCAGCACCAGCCCCCACTGCTGAAATCCAAGTACCAAACTTGGATCACACTCCCGCCTGAGCTCCGGCCAAGGTGGTGGCGCGAGCGTTTCGTGAAACCTGTGGTTTTGCTCGTTAAAGCTCTTTATGGGCATCCTGACGCTGGCGGACTCTGGGAGGCACACCTCAAACGTTTCATTAGTGAACTTGGGGGGCGTGAGATCGCAGAGTTTCCTGGAAACTTCTGGTTCAAGGAGTCCGGGTTACTTCTCTCGACATACGTCGACGACTTGACGTTGGCCGGCCCCAGCCACCTTCATAAAGACTTCTGGGAAAAGTTAACAAGACTGGTTGATATAGAACACCCAGAAGACATATATCGGGTGCTAGGCAGGAATCACCTTTTGATAGATGCTCCAAAGGACCCAACTGAACCCGATCTTAATGCCGCAATGGGCAGATTGAAAGGGGGCATGGCGTTCGACATGCGGGATTATGCCCGTCAAACGGTTGCATTATATCTTGAGGTTGCACAGCTAAAAACTGAAACGTTGCGTGATGCCACCACTCCATTCTGTCCCGCTGGATCCCTTGATCCTGCAGATGACGCCTTGGAGGGTGAGCTCGGCTTCGCCGCTTGCCGCGTGTTAATGAAAGCCTTATGGCTCGGCCGTTTGGCACGCCCAGACCTGGTCAAGCCCATTGGCGACCTTGCCTCATTTGTTCAGAAATGGTCTAGGAACTGCGATAAGCAGCTACATAGGCTTGTCTGCTACATAAACAGCACGGTCAACAGCACGCTAGTTGGCACAGTTCAGGATTCGACTGATTTGCATCTGTCTCTCTATGTGGACGCCGATTTCGCTGGAGAACGAGACGCAAAATCAACGTCCGGAGGATTCTTGACTTTGAGTGGTCCGCATACGCATTTCCCCCTTGCGTGGGTGTCTAAAAGGCAGACCTCGGTCTCCCGATCGACAACCGAGGCGGAGATCGTATCTCTCGCGTACTCCCTTTACCAGGAGGCGCTTCCTGCGCTCAGCTTATGGGAGCTGATCTTGGACAGACCATTCCATCTCAAGATCCACGAGGACAACCAGGCAACTATCCTCGTAGCAAAGAAGGGTTTCTCATCCAAGCTACGCTGTGTCCAGCGCACCCACAAGGTGAACCTTGCGTGCATCGCAGAGCAGCTTGAAAGCGAACACATCTCGATAGAATACGTCCAAACCGACATGCAGTCAGCAGACATCTTCACGAAAGCACTTCCACCCAACAAGTGGGACCATGCCATCCGGTTGCTCGGCATTCGTGTTGACCTTCCAGAGAAGCTTGAAGACGTTCGTGAAAGTAGGTCTGCTAAAGCAGCTGCCTAGTGCGCTGCAGCATGTCTGCAAAATTTCCAAAAGTGTGCAAGTGACTGGGCGATGCTTGAATAACTTGCGTCAGTCGTTGTGATGTAAACTTGACTTCAAGTTGGCATGGTAATGCGCCCAAGACACTCCCTCAGTGCCGTCAATGAGGGGGGAGTCAATTATCACGATGACATTTATGGCCCAGAGGTACAACAAGTTGCATGATGTACAAACATGACAAGGACCCAGATGACATGCCCGCATGTCATTTGGCTCAAGTGCTGAAAAGAGCGCGTTGCACGCGCTGCCCACAAGGTTAGGGGAGAGGTCGCAGTCACGGCGGGGTTCGTTCCTTTTAAGGTCCCGGGTTCCCCCGTTGTTGAGAAAACTGTGTTTCCCTCTCCTTTGAGTGAGGTCCAATTGAGGAATGAAAAGATTGGAGAGAAGGTTTTTTGAACGTATGCCAATGCACGGTCTCCGCTTTCGGCAGGAATGCAAAGTTCACTTCGAGTCCCCGCTTCGGACGCTGTCAGGACTTACACGTTTGTGGTATCATGGCATAGGGCATCGGGCAGGAATTCCAGAAGTATCCTACGAGGGCACTGGCCAGGCCAGGTCGGCCTTACATCGCCTTACATTCGGCGCGTGTTACAACTTGAGGCGGACATGGGCAAGAAAGGCCCAGTCATGGGCCAGGCGCGAGTCGCTGATTCAGATTCCGCCATCGTTTTCCCACGTTTTCACTTTCTCCAATCTGTTTCCACTTGGCCGTGTCATTGTTACCCTTCTTCATCCTTCCCTGTGTCGTCTTTTCCCGTTTCACTTTCCACTCTCCGTTTCTCTCTTTCTTTTCTCCCTTCTTCTTCTTCTTCTTTTGCTGCCTGCCTTGCTTTGTTGTTGAGCTGCCTTTGGCATGTGTTTGCCGGCCTCTCAACTTTCTCTTTGGCTTTGACTTTTCTGCATTCCCTTGGCCATCTACATGCCCCCTTTTGCCCTTTGCTTTCTTTCTGGTTTCCGTGCGCTTTTCATCCTCATTTGCCTGCCTTGTTCACTTCGTACTCCCGCTTTCATGCTTGCAGATAATTTTCCTTTCCGTTGCCTGAGCGTGTCTTTTAGGGTTTGTGTCTTTCCCTGCCCATATGCTTGCCCTTTTATGCCTTCTGATTTTTTACATTGCTTGCTGTCTCAGTACTTTTTGGCCCTCATTGTTATATCTTCTGTTTATCTTCTGTCCCAGTTTGTGCCTTGCTGCGATGGGCCTCCTGTGAGGCCGTTTTTCAGAACTCCTCGGACATGAAGCAGGCGAATCAGTGATCCGTCAGTTCGCACACGGATTCAGAGCAAGAGTATTTGCACGCATTAGAAGATGCGATTCGCGAACTTGTTTGCAGGGCTTGCAATCTTTGGAGTCGTCCTGGTTCTCCTAGGCTCTTTGTAAGAGGCCTTGACCTTGGTGTTTTGCAAGGAGCGTTATCTGGTGCCGCTGCACACAAGATCTTCACATTTTCCAAATGCCTTGACACATGTCACACAGGGTGTAAGAGCGTATGACGAGTACAGATCAAGCTTACCGTCTAACAAGTACAAGGAACTCTCGCGTGTTTTCTGCAATCCCATTTATGGCTCAGTTTGCAATTGAGTAGCTGCCGATCGCATGCATGTCAAGCGTGCCAGTCTACGCCTATTCATAGGCCAAGCAGCTAGATGGCGATGACCTCGCCGTTTTGGCTCATACCCCTCGATTGAGTCTTCTCTTTTCCTTGCTCTCGAGAGAGGCCTCGATTTGCGGTGCCCACCTCGAAATTCCAGGATTTGAGCGGTACCCGGGTCTCGGAGTCAGGGGAGCGTCTTGAGCGATTTTGCCGCGCTGTGAATTAGGAGACGTTGCCTTGTACGTTCTTAGCGTGTGGACTCGGGCTAACCTGTGGCTGTTGTTGACGTCCTAAACGGTCACGTCCTTGAACGTTTTTTGTGAACTTGCTCTTTCTCATCTTGTCCCGCCATATGACCGAACGCTTCTTTTTTGGAAGAAGAAGGCTGGCTGCGGAATTGACGCGACTGCTCTAGATGTTAGGCGGGCAAGGCTAACCCAAGCTCACGTCCACAGTCTGTTGGGCGAAGCTCTCCGTAATTGTGCTGGAGCATGTTAAGGTTTGAGAAGGGATGCTCCATCGACCGTGGCAATTGCTCGGGTTCACACATCAGCAGATTAGGTGAAGCCTGCCAATGCGAGCCTTTTAGCCAGTGGTGTTCTATCTCTTGGCAACGTTGCCTCGCGCCTCTGTGAGCCAAAGCGAGTGCACTTGTCGTCAGTGCCAAAGAGAGAGATAGAGAGAGACAGAGAGAAACAACAAGGAAGGTAGACCTAAAGAAGTGTAATCCGGAACATGCCCGAAAGTTTGCCGGGAGACGTTGTACATCATGTTACAACGCTGCTGCGCCCGCTGTTCGACCATGTAAATTCTGTGGCTCTTGGTGTCGCGCAGTGGGCTTTGTGACTGTGGCCGTCGAATATTTCGCTTTTGTCAATCGCAGTTGTGCCAGAAAGTTCTTCCCTCCCTTTGTCATAATTCTTTTCTGCCCTGACTATGCTGATGCAATGAGAATAAACATGCGTGCTTGTATGCACGCTCCGCAAAGACTCGTGCATCCTCGCTCTCTTCCACTGCACATGAAAGGCGGTACGAGCTGAACTCATGAAGGACGGAGGCGCGGAGTTTGGCACGTTTGTCTTATGCTTGTGGCTCGTTGGAGCTGTGAGCATGGACATCTTGAGTCAGGGTACGACGTGAAGATGTATTACAAGCAGTCTGGTCTTTTTCAAAAGATCGCAAGGCATCCATGGTGGCTTGGCGGAGGGGAGGGCTGTCCTTTTGCTGGATAACAGTTTCTCCGCATTTTGTCTAGCCGATCTGAGGTTTGAGAATATCACAATGTTCATCATTGGAATCTACGCTATGTGGATGGCAGTCGACACAGACTTGAACCGCGCTGACCCTTTGCGAAAAATCGGCAGCTTTGACATTGGTCTCGCTAGGGCAGGACCCAGGCTTTCTCGAAAAAGACTGGCCACTGCCTGCACACTAAGGAAGTAATTTTGCAGGCGGATGCAGTGTTCTTTGTGGCTGAGCAGATATTTTGCTTGTACTTTTTCGTGGAACTTGTCGGTGACTCAGTGGTCCCCACATAGGATTCTTGTCAAGGCTCTGCGGCAGATTGCGCTAGGTCATTCGATTTCTGGCTTTCAAGGCCAAGCGGAACTGCCTCAGAGACGCCTGGTTTGTGTTCGACTTCCTCTTAGTCATCACGATGGTCTTGGAGCCTCGGCCGAATGTCCAATGGAAACCAAGCTGCGATTTGGCACTCCGCCTCACGCTTTGCCGTTTGGATGCTGCTCTTTGCCGTCTTCCGGAGTCGCCGTATGCCGAGGAGACCTGGGTTATGACCGCTGTGCTGTTGGTGACGGGGGCTGGGACCAGCAGCGGTCTCCTCTCCAACGCCTCCATCCTTCGTTTGGCCAGGTTTCTTGGCTGGTTCATCTACATATAACATGTGAAATCAGATGAACTATAGAGCATGATTTAGCATTCTCAACTTGCCAGATCAGCGAACTGTGCACGTTGAGGCTCATGCGCCTGTCGCGGCTTTTTCGAATGGCGCGCTTGCTGCTGCTTGAACGGAAGCGAAGCAGTCAATTGTGATGTAGCCATGTCCTGTGGAGAAGCGTAAGTCGGAACATCGGAGCAGTCGGCTTGTTTCCGAGGCGGATGGTCCCGGAGCTGCTGATTTTGGTGAAAGCGATCGCGGCGGCGATGCGGTCCGTTGGCTTCACGTTGCTGCTGTTGGTCATCGTTTTGTACGTCTTCGGCATCGGATTCACCCAGCTCTTGCGCGGCTCCCTCGTGGGCTCCGATACCTTCCCAGGAAATGGAAGCGTCACTAACGTGAGACTCACTACGAGTTAAAGTGAGACGACTTCAGACCCCTTCCCTCGAGTGAAGGAGTCTTCCTGTCCATGCAGAGCCTCTTCTTGCACGGCACCCTCTTGGACTCCATCTCGGACCTGTTTGGCCCTTGCAAGAAACGCGAGCAATGCATTCAATGTAATGCGCTTGGCCCAGGGTCGCCGACTTCATCACACAGGAGCAATACCTGGCCTTGGCCCTCCTGTATGCCTTTCTGGCGCGGGGCCGCATGTTTTGTTTTTCTTGGGTCTCATTCGTTGTGCTGTGCACCTCCCTCGTTGCCTTTCTTTGCGTTGGATTCTTTTCGCTTCCGACACGTTTTGTATTCCTGGGACAGCTGCGTGCAATGACCAAACGTTTCACATACTGCGCTTGATTGGGCAGCTGTGTTGCAAGCGTAGTTCCATCAAGAATACGTGCGTGGCTTCTTTGCGAGGGTCACAGCAACACAGCCCCTAGCGCGATTCACATCAGCGTGTTGCGCAACCCCTCGCCCTTTTTCGCCTTTTTCGCCTTGATTGAGGGGACAGAACCCTTGGGTGCCGGACGGCAGGGTCCGGGTCAGGCCGCCGACATTAAGGCCTGCTTTCCCATTGGAATTATCCCTTTCGAATTCTCCCATGGGAATTCCCCTTTGCAATTTTCTCTGTGAGGAGCACAGAGGGTTAAATGAAAGGTCTCTATTCGTGTCTTGTGGCATCCAAGATGTTCAGCCACTACTGTACGATGTTTAGATGGTAATCCGCAAAAGCTTGTTGACTTTGATCCATTAAGATTTCAATATTGTCAGCCATCAATAATACTAAGACTTGACGTTTTTTAAGCCATTGGGATGTTAAGACTTGACGTCATGCCGGTTTTAGCTAGTAAGCCACTAAGAGTCTAAGGTTTGAAGCCATCGAGATTTCAAGATTGTAAGCCATTACTATTGTAAGGTGTTACACCATTAAGATGTAAAAAATGCAAGCCGTTCAGAGAGTTGAATCCATTAAGGTTTCTAGATTTTCAGCCATTCATATTTCACTATTTTCAGCCATTCAGATTTTATCTCTCTAAGCCACTAAGGTTTGACATTTCCAGACATTCCACTTTGGGCCAGTGAGGTGTTAAGCCATTAAGGCTCTAAGATTTAAAGCCCCTACGATTTCAAGATTTTAAGCCATTAAGATGTTGACACGTTAAGCCACTAAGACTGCAACAGTTTACCCCCGCTGTGGAAATCCCACTGGGTATACTCAGTTGACCTTGATCAGTGCATGAGTGAGGTTTTGCAAGCTTGAGTGAGCAGGTTATTAGCCGGCCCGAGCTGCGAGTACTGGCAATCATCATGTGTCGCCGTCAGGACACTCCGGATCGGTTGCAACGGATGACAGCAGCAAATCAGAGAAGTGTACAGACATTAAGCAAGCATGGAGATCAAGCAGTTGTTTCACTTTGTGTGTTGAGACATCGTTGCGTGTGTGCGGAAACAAGGTGCGGGCGCTTGGCTACCAGTTGCAAGCTTTCGCGCTGGTAGCGGAGCCTTGTTGCCGCGCCATGGCAGTGGACAATGGCCGCAACTGGCCTCGAGATGATGGGATTGTCGTGGATAAGGACGGCGTGCCGCATTACACAGGCCAGCAGCCAGGACTGATGCGTGAATACAGGCGGCGCGTTTTGTTCGCTTTCAGCAACTTGGGGGGCGAGGGGGGCGATGCGACAAAGGAAGCTTGAGATTTGCAGAAGAAGTCCCGCTTCGCGAAGAAGTTGATGGATGCACTGCACGGAGAGGCTTGGCGAGCTTGGCAGAGTTTGCGGGCACAGTGCCCAGACAGTCCGAGACTTCAAGAGCCTAAGCGGCCTCGACCCAGCAAGCTTCCTGTCACAGACGAGTCCAGTGTGCAGAACATTCTTTGTCAGGGGACGACCTTTCAGGTGTGTGCTTTTCTGCAACAAACACACGGCGATCCCACTGGCCATGTGATTTTGGAAGCGCAAACATCGCACTGGCTTTCGCGGGCAGAGTATTTTGAGCGAGGTGTGATTTGCGACCGAGCCAAGTATTTCTTGTCGGATGTGGCAGAAGAGGTAGCGGCGCACGGTTGTTATCTCGATATTGCCGCAAAAGCAGCACCCTGGCAGATTGGACAGGTCGAAAGGCATGGTGATATCTGGAAAGCGACCTTTCGGCGTTTGGTGTGGTCGCAGCAGGTTTCTGGATTTCAGGAGGTACAGCTAGCGACTGCACCGACCAATCAGGCCAAGAATTTGTTGAGCCGGAAGAGTGGTTTTTCTCCGACGCAGTGGGTCCTGGGACGTGATATACGACTGCCAGCTACTTGAGCAGATGATGCAGAGGTTTCCAGATTGGGAGCACAAGCAGATCCGGATGGCAGCCCGGGAAGCACTCGCAAGAAGCTCCAATGACTCAATTGTGAAACCGGCGGAAGTGTCCGAAGACCTGAGAATGAAGTATGAGTCGGAGAGAGATGCAAGAAGAGCGGTGAAGTCAAGTGAGTTCTTTGCACGTCGTGATCGGCAGAGGAGAGAGAAGAGAGAGCCACACCAGCAGGAGTTTTCCATGGTCAAGGGGCAGGAGAAGACGCCTGTGAGTCCCGACCCTCACGAGAACCACAGTAGAAGCCGAGGGGCGAGAAGCTAAGAGATTGAGAGTTGCGCCGGAGTTGGAAACGGATGCGCTTCTGACGGGCGGTGAAAGTTTTACTTTCATGGCCACAGAGAGTTCCAACTTTCTACAAGACCAAGCTCGGCGACATTTTCAACGCGCTTGAGCCGGGTATGATGAGCTGGGAGTTTCCGAGGAGCTGTTTATGTTTGGTGTCAAGCGGAACGTCTTCGACGATAGATACCATGCTCTTTGGGCACGTGCTGCAGAAGGCCAAGCGCCCAAAGCAGGCGGAGTCAAGCAGAAGAAGGGCAGAAAAGAAATTTGCCTTGCAGATCTGGACGCAGCGAAGCAGAAGTTGTTTACTGGTCATGTGACGTTTTGAGTCCGGCAGAGAGCGAGCGAGTTCGACGGGAACGTCCGGAGCTGATCATTCCAACACGCTTGGTACGGACAAACAAACACGACGGCCTGGTGGACAAGGAATGCTTAGCAAAGTCGCGCTTGGTGGTTCAAGTTCAAGCATCAGTCACTGGGGCAACACAGGCGAGATGCACCTACAGCTAGCGCAGTTGCAAAGAGTGTTTGATTGGCATGGGTTTCACGCTTTTGGCGAAGGACATCAAGAATGCATATTTCTCTGAAAAGTCGGTCAATCGGGAGATTTACTTGCTACCGCCCAAAGGTGGACTGCCGGGTTTGCAACCAGGACAGCTTCTTCAAGCAAACAAAGCATCTATGGCTTCGTAGAGGCAGCGCAGATGTTTTGGTTGGCATTGAAGGAGAATCTGGAAGCAGATGGTTGGGTGGAAAGCAAGCTGGAGCCCGCATTGTTTTACCTTGCAAAGAGGACAGGCTGAAAGGATGCTTGGTTACTCATGTGGATGACATTGAAGGCGGAGTTGCCAACAATTTACTCACAGATGCATTTAGCAAGTCTTCATTGGCCTTGGAGCTTGCAAGGAACCATGTGAAGAGTTTCATCTTTCGAGGTCCACCAGCAGGAGCATGGCCACATAGATGTCACGAGAACGGTGTGATGCAAGGTGCAAGCGAGAGGCATGCGTTGCAGATCTGGTACGTTTGAAACAGTACGTTGGCATGGCACGGCGCGCAGCAGACTTTCGGCAGAGGTATTGGTCAGATGTGAATTTACGGGAAGCAGTTTGGCAGATTCGGGACATGCCAATGGCACGCTGGAGAGGAGCGAAGCCATGAGGTACAAGAGCATTGGTGTATACTGGCGGCCAACCCAGAGATGTTAGTGGGAAAGCCGGCACGGTGCAACGTTCTAGTGCTACTACAAAGCGCGTTTGCAGAAGCACTTTAGCAGCTGAAGCAAGTCACTTGGCAGAAGCGGTGGAGGCAGGTGACTGGATAACAGTTTTGCCGGAGGAAGCGCTGACGGGGAATTGAGATTTGAGAAATTGGTCAACGCTGATCGAACAACGCCCTAGAGTATATGTCACAGATGCTCGTTCTGTTTTCGATAACCTGAAGAAGGACTCGGCGAGCGCCAGTTTTGACATGCGGATGGCGATCGAAGGCGCTTTGCTTCGGGAAATGGTGTAGAAGCTGTGGGCGCATGTCAGGTGGATTGATGGTTTGCAGAACATGGCAGACGTTCTTACAAAGGCCGGGGCCGGAGCAGAAAACAGTGCTCAAGCAGTTTTCAAAGGATGGCGTGCTGAGTTTGGTACAAACAGAAGAGAACAAGGCCATTACGCAGAAGAAGCAAGCAGAGAGGCAACGGCGGAACGTTCTCAAGAAGGATGATAGTGAAGAGAAAGAGGCCCGAGCAGCGGCCAGCAAGCGAGAACTGATCTTCGGTCAAAGAAAGAAAACACCTGTGTGGAAACCCTGCTGGGTATACTCAGTCCACCTTGATCAGCGCATGAGTGAGGTTTTGCAAGCTTGAGTGAGCAGGTTGTTGATGCATATCAGCCGGCCCAGGACACTCCGGATCGGTTGCAACGGATGACAGCAGCAAATCAGAGAGGTGTGCAGACGCTCAGCAAGCAGGGAGATCAAGCAGTTGTTTCACTTTGTGTGTTGCGACATCGTTGCGTGTGTGCGGAAACAAGGCGCGGGCGCCTGGCTGCCAGTTGCCAGCTTTCGCACCCGCATTACAATTCTAAGTAAGCTTTGACGCCAGTAAGGTTTGAAGGTGTTAAGCCGCTGGGAGTTTAGGCCCTTGATGTTAACACGGTAAGCCACATATGATACGCAAACGTTGCAAGCCCCTCATATTTTTCAGAGTTGAATCCATTTAGGTTTTCATGTGTTCAGCCAGCAAATGTTTTCAATATTTTCAGCAACCCCACACAACCCGTGGCAAGTCCAAATATGTTTTATCGCGCCGGTTTTCTTTTCTTTTTGATTGAGAGAGCCGCCCTCTACCGGCCAGCCACACAACCGTGCCGGTCTCCTTTTCTTTTTGATTGGCGCCCTTTACCGGTCAGCCGCACAACCCGTGGCAACATCTTAGAGATTTGTCACCTCGCCGGTCTTCACAAGCCGTTGCAATATCTTAAATGTGTTTCAAGGCGCCGGTCTTCTACTCTGTTTGACTGTGGGGCAGCCGCCCTCTACCCGACAGCCACATGACCGTGGCAACATCTTAAGTATTTTTCACCGTGCCGGTCTTCTTTTCTGTTTGACTGAGGGACAGCCGCCCTCTAGCGGACAGCCACACAAGCCGTGGCAATATTTTGAATGTTTTTCACCGCGCCGGTTCTTCTTTCCTGATTGACTGAGGGACAGCCGCCCTCTACCGGACTGCCCCAAAACCGGTGTCCTTGTGGGATGACCGGGCATGCCGCGCTTGAGCGTTTTCCAATTCATTGACAGGCATAATTGAGTGCAAAATGTGCCACTAGGCTTTGAATATCTTAGCCTAAATAAATCTGTGCAGCATTTGACGGTGAGCTTTGCTGTTCCCGCTCGAGTGCCCGTGCATCGTCATGGCTTGTGTGTGCCTGCGTCTCAGATCCTTGACACGCTGTTTTGCCGCTCTTGCGCATCAGCTACCAGCTTGAGATGTTGCCATGTGCCTGAATCGTTAATTCAATCCGTGCCATTAATTCGAGAATTGTCTTTTGGTCGCCTTTCTAAGTTGATGCAATATGTTAAATATTTTTCACCGCACCAGTGTTCTTTTCTGTTTGACTGAGGGACAGCTGCCCTCTACCGGACAGCCACACAAGCCGTCGCAATATGTTAAACATTTTTCACCGCGCCGGTCTTCTTTTCTGTTTGACTTGAGGGACAGCCGCCCTCTACCGGACAGCCACACAAGCCGTGGCAATATAGTAAAAAAGTATTTCCGCGCCGGTCTTGTTTTCTGTTTGACTGAGGGACAGCCGCCCTCTACCCGAGAGCCACACAAGCCGTGGAAAAATCAAAAATATGTTTCACCGCGCCAGTCTTCTTTTCTGTTGACTGAGGGACAGCCGCCCTCTACCGGACAGCCACACAAGCCGTGGCAAGATCTTAAATATTTTGCACCGCGCCGTGTTCTTTTCTGTTTGACTGAGGGACAGCCGCCCTCTACCCAAGAGCCACACAAGCCGTGGCAAGATCTTAACTATTTCACTTCATTTCTGTTTGACTGAGGGACAGCCGCCCTCTACCCGAGAGCCACACAAGCCGTGGCAATACCTTGAATATTTTTCACGGCGCCGGTCTTCATTTCTGTTTGACTGTTTGACTTTGGGACAGCCGCCCTCTACCGGACAGCCACACAAGCCGTGGCAATGTCTTGAATATTTTTCACCTCGCCGGTCTTCTTTCTTGTTTGAGTGAGGGACAGCCGCCTTCTGCCGGACAGCCACACAAGCCGTGGCAATATCTTAAGCATTTTTCACCCTTCTTTTCTTTTCATTGATTGCTGCGCTCTCATGTAGGACTGTCTTTGTGTTTTGAATCGATCTGCGTCAGATTCTTTCGGCCATTACTATCGCCAACATGCTGATCGGCGTGATCTGCGAGGCGCTGCCGATCGGAGAGCTGTGGCGGGAAAGAAATTGAGGGAAGGAGCCATAATAGCTAAGGGAATAGGCTAAAGGATTGAAGGTCGGTGGTTCGGTGGTTTAGCGTTGCAAGCGGTGTGTCCAAGCTTTGCTTTCAAACGTTGCCGTCCTGAATTCGATTTAAATTGCAAGGGTTGGAAGGTATATGTCTGAGTATTCTCACGGTACATAAGGTCATCACCGCAGTGGCCGCTGCAGAGAAGGAGGCGATTCAGATCACTTGGGTGAAAGAGACACTGAACCGGGTCATGGGCTGCAGCTTTGCAGCATTGTCGCATTGTGCTACCTGCTACCTTGGGCTCTGCGTTGCGAGAACGCTACCGTTTGCCTGTACGAGAACGCTTCTCAGGCACAGACGAGAACTTTGATGGGAAGCTGCAGAAGAGCGAGTTCTTCATGATCGCTCAGGACAAGGATGCAGTAAGAGCTCTCAAGGACTGGGGAAAATTGCAAAAACACGAGCGCGTCAAGACGCGGCTGACAGTTCCTTCCCCGGTCCGCGCACAAGCGCGCAGGAACTGGGAGTGGATGTTTTCACGCTGACACTGGGCTGCAATGCTGAGATGCATGTCACGCATGTCAGATTTGAAGAGGATTGAACCCCCTGCCTTTGTTTCGGAGCCACTGGCCTTGAAGACCGAAGTTGGACTTTTTGTTGCCTGGGAGCGGGACCTGAAAGAAGACTTGCCGCTGCCAAGATGTGAAAGCCAATCCCCATCCATTGATGCAAGCCAATCCATATTGCTCCGTCGCCTGAATCACATTCCGAAACCTTTCCACTCTCCCTTGTCATGATTGGTCAGAGGCAAGAAGCATGATTTGACTGTGGCAGTGGGGTCAGTGATCTTTGAGTGATTTATTGAGGGTTGCGGTGTTGCAGAGTTCCGTTCGCAGAAGTTTAGACCTTGGCGTAAGTGTCAGCCATCCGTGCAGTGCTCTGGTGCATGGCCCGCGGCGCGCCTCAGAATCGACTTTGCTGACATGATCTTCGAAGAGCCGGGGGAGGCAAAGCGATGCGTTGAGGATGCTGGATGCATTGAGTTCCGAAGTTCCGAAGTTCCGAAACAGGATGCTGGCGAATCTGGAGAAGCCGAGCTTTCCTTTGCCGACTTCATGGAGGTCCGGGCTTGGGATGTAGCTTCGCCGCAAAGCAACTGCGGAAGTGCCAGGTCATCCTTCAGTTCCGCGGAACAAACATGGCCACTGTGAAGGACATGGTGGACTTGCGGAAGTGGTTCACGCTTCAGCGCCTCATGCGTATTTGCGTTTCTCAAGGGCTTGAACAGTGCGAGTTTCTCAAAGAAGGGTTTATATTTGTGTTGAGATGGAAGCGAGGTATCGCCAGATGCTGAAAAGCGACTTAGAAGAGATACTCGTTGGCAAGGACCGGGTTGATGCCAATGAACTTTCCAGCTTTGTGTTGGCTTGAAAGGTCGATGCCGACGCTTCTCGCACAGCGTGTCTCAGCAGCAAGACCAGCAAGATATTGAGTCGTGGCCAATCGTAGCGAATGCGTCTTAGGAAGAAAGGCTTGAGAACTTCTCTGTGGACACATCGGTGGTCGCCATCTACCGAAGCTTGCCCAGAAGTCTAAAACCAACTTTGGAAGTTTGGACGCCAAGCCGGCACCGCGTAAGGAAGTCCCTGGCGCATCTGTGAATCTTTGACTCGAAGCCGATGGAACCCGCTCTTTTGCGCTCGCAGTGGAGCGAGGGAAATCAGAGCATTTGAGACAGAAGGGTTTGCAAGCCGGTGTTCACAAGTTCAGCCCAAGATTTTGTCTAGGCGTTGCCGCTGTGTTTCTTCAGTGCTTGAGGTTTGTGCTCTGTTTTGCTTTTGCTTCTATGTGTCACTTCGAAGAAGTGGCGCAAAGCCGTGCAAGTGCTCTTCAAAAAGCCTTCATGGATAGCACGCGTGCTACGGATGAACGAATTGCGTATGCAGGAATCTTCCAGAGAGTGGGAAAGCCATCAGCCTCAACGCCAAAACAAGAGTTTATTACCACAACATGTTGATTCGGATTTCTTCTTGGATCGACGTAGAGCTCTATCTAGCAACTTGCAGCTCTGATCGGCGTGGATCTCTAGTAACAAGTATGATTCTGAAGAAGTCACACTGAGCAGTGCCATGGCTCAAACATTGATTGCAGCCGCCGCTTGGTACAAAGCTATCAAGCACTTGGGGTAATTATGTCGCCTACTAAACAGCTCTTGACGCTTAGGTAGCAAGAGGGGCTTCACTTGAATGCTCTTCATATGCCTTTGTATTTGACAGATCACATGACGAAATCATGAATGCGTGCGAGAAAACATGCGCGTGTGGCGGAATGGAATCGCGAGAACAAGTGACTCTTTGCGTGTTTGGCTGCGCGTTTGGCGTTTCCGGCGGGCTGAAAGGTACCTCGCGACGTTGGGTTTGCGTTGTTTGCGCTTCGGCGACCTTAAGTACACAGCGCGTGGCAGGCGCAGCAAATTGTTGGGTCGGCGTTCAAATTTCGTGGCAGGCGCAGCGCTTTGGCAGCTTGAGGTGTTGATTTTTCGCAAGGTAGAGCGAGATATACGATAGGTAGTTAGGCAGATAGATAGGCAGATAGATCGGCAGATAGATCGGCAGATAGATAGGCAGATAGGCAGATAGAAAGGAAGATAGGCAGATGTCAAACTACATGCTTCACTTCCTGCATTTGTGTTGCGTGTATGTTCACTTCTGCAGGCCTTGAGCTCACTACATCGCATGAGTCAAAAGGTTGGCAGCTGCAGACTACATTGGTTGACTGTTTGTTTGAACACTACAGCACTTGCACTAAAGTAGCAACCGATTTTAAAGAAGCGTTGGCTACCTTACCAAACTACTGGAACCTACCTTCAACGAAGCGCAGTTTCAAGAACAATTCCTACAATGGGAATACGACATCAACCGCTACGAGAGAGACAACGGCGCAGCACTACCAGATGCAACCAAAATAGCAATACTACTCAACAAAACCAAAGGAGCGCTGCAGCAACATCTTCAACTGCGAGCTGGACAGATCACGAACTACCTCGAGATCAGAGCAGTCATCTTGGACCACTACAAGACGATTTCAGCCTTCTCGAGATCGACTTCAGCAGTAGGAACAAACTACTATGGAGGAGCTGCACCAATGGATGTTGACAACATATGGAGGAAAGGAAGAAACTACAAAGGCAAAGGGAAAGGAAAAGGCAACTATAAGGGAAGCAAAAGCAAAGGCAAGTACAGGAGTAAAGGACACTACAAAATTCGACAAAGGCAACAAAGGAAACTACAACAAAGGAGGATACAACAAGAGCAAAGGAAAAGGCTACTCAGGATCCAAAGGATATGGATCAAGCAAAGGCTACAAAGGCCAAGGAAACTACAGCAAATCAAAAGGAAAAGGAAACAACAACTACACAACATGCCATCGATGTGGCAAGCCTGGCCACTGGGCACAAGACTGCAGAGTGCCAGTATGGCACATAGGAGAAGGAGAAGAACGACATTCACTAGAACAAAAACAAGCAGATTATGACAACAACGAAGAACTACCTCAGGATGTGAACGACACCTGGGATTGGTACTATGAAGGAGAAGAAGGACAACACGAGGTAAACTAATGGAGGAGAACTGGAACGACTACGACTATGACAACAGCTGGGATTGGAATAACAGCAGCTATGAGGACACAGCAAACTACATTGGGGGCATCAACGGGTCACACCTCACCATTGGACACATCAGACAAGCAAAGTCACGACTACACAAGCACAAATCCAAATCACTACTTGGCAAGAAAACAACACACACAACATCATGGAACGACCACAGCAAGAGCTTTCAACAATTCCTACAAGAAGACACCGCACAGCTACACTTCGACATAGCAGCAGCAACGCAACAGCAAAGGAACAAGAAGATTGAGGACACTATCACACACTACATCATGTACTCCAACTTCAAGTCACACCACCACCTGTTGATCGACTCAGGAGCATCTACACACAGTTGCGCAACTCTACACGGTTACCAACAAGAAATTCCTGTCTACGGCATCAAGTATGTTCCCTGCAAGCAGGACAACTTCAGCACCATGATACCCTACTACGTTTGTGATGTGAAGTATCCAATCCTCAGCGTATCAAGACTACTTGATAGAGGATATGGACTCGACTTCACTCCACGACACTGCACCATCACACATGGACAACAACAAGCGCACCTCATAAGACACTCAGGACTTTTCTACCTACAAGCAGAGAAGATCGACATCCCACAGGGTTCGACATCTACCCAATGACCACAGACAATGGAAAATCCATTGCTGTGATTCAACCTACAGAGAGAGCAACACAACAACAAGAACAAATTGCACCACTCACCCACACAGACCAAGGACTGCGACAGATCCTTGGTGGAAACACTGACTACTGGAAACTTGATGGTGACTACGCCATCAGAGTACACAAACGACCACGCGAAGCATTGTTCACACCACACAACAGTGGTTGCCCAATACCAGAAGGAGAACTAGATGATTGGCGACTAACCATCATCAACAGACAAGGGAAAGAGCAAGAACAACTACAAGAGAACCCAACGCAACTTTCCAAGCAAGAACTACAACGAAGACTAGAAGGTGACAACTGGACTGGAGAAACCAGATTCAGAAGAAAGATATCACCTACACGCAGAGCAACATCAAAGACCACACCAACAAGGCAGAGCTTACAACCACAACGGCTAATGGACACACCACCAACCAGATCAAAGATCCAACTACGAGCACCACAAAAGATATGGAGACCTAAAGCAGCACCTTCTACAAATCTTGACACCACACAACCAAAGGAGACAATCCACAGACCACTCACAGCACAGGAGGACAACCAAGACTACTGGGAAAGACAAGGTGAACACTGGATAAGACACCACGCAACACTTAGAACAACTCTCTTCACTCCAGCAAATGGACCAGGACATCCACCAATCAGCACACTTGAACCTCACAGAACTACAAGCACTCGCAACAACTTTGGAGAAGTTTCACAACGCAAAGATGACTGGACAGTCATGGGCAACGCAGCACTACCATTTCAATGGAAAGGAACAACAAGGTTCACCGTGAAGAAAGACTACGAGTACATCCAGGAGAACCACGATGAGGAACAACGACACGAGCATCATGAAGCACACAGAGCAAGAGGACTACGACACCATCAGGATCAGTCACAGATGCACCAACTGGCGCTACCACAACTAGAAGTAACCATCGCCATGATTGGCGCAAGACAACAACCACAAGAAGACAACAAGCGGGTCAATCTTATGATTGACAGCGGCGCGGCTACACATGTATGCCCACTATGGTTTGTGTCGCAATTTCCACTACACCAACTAGCACGTGGCACAGGACCACAACTGCGAACAGTGACCAACCAGCGCATCAAGCTTCACGGGTGCAGATGTGTGTGCGTGACAAACCACAGCGGACAACAGACTGTCATACCATTTTACGTTTGTGATGTTAAACAGCCAATCCTTTCGGTTACAAGGCTGGTGGAACAAGGTTTCCAACTTACACTGGATGACAATCCAAGACTACAGTGCATCAAAGGCTTCAATAGCACATTGGAGAACAGAAATGGCCTGTTCTTCCTACAAGCAGAAATCGCAACATTGCCAAAAGGAACAAAGCTACAGATACACAACACAGAACAGGGACAGATTGGCATCACCACAAGGTCCTGCAGACACAGGATATGCAGGAGACTACTGGCAGTTCAACACACAAGGAGAACTTGTTAGAGCACACAGGCAACACAGGAAGACACTCTTCACACCATCAAGAACACAGTGTCCAGTTCCGGCAGAGCAACTAGAGGACTACAGGAAAACAACAATCAGGCCCAAATACATTTGAGGACAAGTATCAAACAACAGAAGATCCAAACAAAGCGCAACCACAGATGTGGAAAGGCGAGACAGCCTTCAGGATCAAGAGAGGCACAAAGTTGCCAGACACGCTACAGCAACAGTTTACAGCAAAGACGCAGCCAAGGAGCGAGCCACAGAGGATCACACCACAAGTGATTCGCTACAACCCACGAACGAGGTTGAGAGAGAAAACAGCACCACCAACACTACAGGAGTCAGCAGCACCACACACCACCAAAGGTGCAGCTGGACAAGGAATTCCACATCCTTCAGAAGTACATCCTGGAGGAGACTACTGGTACAGAGAAGGCCCATACTGGAAGAGAGTGCATGTTGAGCCTAGAACAGCGTTTTACATACCAGAGCAGACACACGGCGGGCCAGACATCAAGCGACTCGTACCTTGGAGACAGACCAAGGTACAACCAGTCGGACAAAGACGCAACACAAGATTGGTAGAAGACGAATGGACAACACCGCCAGCCAAGACATCAG